TAGCGTAATGGCTATGTCGCTGGACTCCCACATAGTCGACTGCGGTTCGTGTCCTGGACCCAGTGGCTTAAAACTCAGGCCGGGCGCGTGTGCGGGCGTGCCCAAGATCCCAAGAGGAGAATGGAGGAGAAGGGATTGTGGCGTGACCATCCCCCCCTGGGGGGTGATTTCTCGCTTTCTGTCTCTATGTCTCTCTCTGTCTGTCTGGCGAGCACACGCGCCCTACAGTGAAAATCTCTCCAAAAAAAAGAAGGCACTAACAACTACAATGTTTCCATGACAAAAGGAAGCTGAAAGAGAGATGCTGGTTCTGTGTTGCAGGTGATTCATATTTATTCTCTTGCTGTAAATCACATGTGATACAAGGTGAGACTAGATGGCAGGGACAAGAGGTTGAGCTAGTAAGACTGACTACCATCTTCCTAACTTACAAAGGTCTTTTGACAAAACACGTACCTTTCTTTAGGTCATTTAAAAAATAAACCCATGAATAGGACAGTCCCTAATAAAAGGGTCCCCATTGCTAGGGCAATAAGATAACTGAAATGAGAGTGCCCTCAGAGAACTGGAGAGGAGAAAGAGGAATAATCGCTAAGCTTAGGAAAGGATGCTTTTCTGTTGGGGAAAAGATGCTAAGTGAGGGTTAAGAGACAAAGCTCAAGAAAATTACAAAATAAAAGTAGAAGTGAATGGACACTGACCAAAGAGAACAAGAAAGAACACTGGAGATAAGATAGCTTTTTCTCGTATTTGAAACTACTTTTCTTTTTTTAATTGCCAGAGGGCATGTGTGCTCAGCAGAGAGAGAGAAAGAAAGAAAAGAAGAGGAAGACACACACACCCCACCCCATGGGGCATGGTCATGCCATAATCCCTTCTCCGTTTCTTTATCATGTCAGGATTTGGGACATGCATGCACACACATGTGTCTGGTATGTTTTTCAAGTCGCCAGTGCTGGGATTCGAACTGTGATCAGCCATGTGGGATCTGATTCCCTTAATCATTAGGCCATGAGACCAGTCCTGAAACTACTTTTCGACCAGTGGAATAGTGCCAGTCAGTTCGACCATAAATCTTTTACACTATGAAATCATGTTATGGTATTTCTCATGTGACCTGAAGTCTAAATGTTCAGATAGGGTGGAGGAGGAGCAAATTAAAAGTGTGTTTTCTAACATCATCATTAATGGGTATCCTCACTCTGCTCTAACACATATTTGCTAATTTGTGAGAGGGAGCACTATAGAGACAGAAGCTGCAGGCTGAAATCAGCAGATAGAGCATCATTCTAATAGTCAAATATTATGACCTCGTGTAACCTATTTAACTTTTTAGACCAAAATGATGTTATTTTCAAAATGAGGACAATGAACTAGATGTCCTCCAATTTTATAATTTTGCCTTCCACCCTCCAATCTGTCTATTTAGAAGGTGTGTATAGAATTCAAATTTTTATTCTTTGGAGTTTAATATCGGTGTAATTACCTCAAAGGACTATTTGTGAGAATAAAATGAGAGGTTATATTATATTTGAATGTTCTCTGAAATATATTAAATTTGCCAAAAATGTAGGGTAGTACTATTTCTCCAACTTCTTTATTCTATTTCTTTGATGCAGGTAAGATAGAACTTCAGTGGTAAAATAGAGTAAATAAGGGCATTTTAAGGTTGTAACACAGATCT